GGCAGCACTCCATCCCTGCCCACCTCCCCCTCATCATTCCTGATGGGCAACTGCCTAGTTTACATTAATAAAATAGTTCAAATTATTGCAAGTCAAACTTTTTTGAAAGAGTTTGTTGGTTTAGTCCAATGACCCTGTCTTCATTAAAAAAAACCACTCTGACTGTGAATGAGGCATTTGTAAGTTTTGACTAAATTAAACAGGGTAGCAAAAAGGTGAGTTATCCCCTGTAGAAGTGGTGAGGTTGAGATGAAGAATGATGTCTGTAGGGATAGTCAAATTACTTACGAAAACCTTGTCAATGTTTATACACTGCTTAAAGACACTTTACCCCTCTCTTTAAAAACATTGCATTGATTCTCTTTATTTCAGTATCCTGTCTTTTTGACAACCAAAACATTTTTCAAGGAAACACTATATATCCATGCTTGTCATTTTCAGCAGATACATTTCAAAAGTCTTGGTTGTTTAATATGAATGCACATTTTTGATGCTATGGACAACAGAATTAGCACATGCATGAAAATTATGCCCTTGGCACAAAGAGTGTGTGATGGATAATACAGTCAATAACTTTCAACTGAGAAAATATTTCTAGTAAAGCAACACAGCTCTTCTTGCCAGTCATGGCAGACAACCCACCTGTACAAATTCTCTTTTGGACCATTTCAGGTTGATGTTTTTACTAGTTGTTGTACAATTAACAAATCCCTAGACTGTTCAAACAAGTCTCAGCCTATGCTTATAGAATGAAATGAGCACAGACATGCTGCCTATATACCAAAATTGTCGTTCAAACATAAAACAAAACACCACCTGGGTGATGTCAGTAACTTTCATCAGTTGTGAGCAATAATATTTACATTCAACTGTGGAAAATATAATCTATGCTAACATATCATTAGACATCCCAATCCTTTTCAGTATGCTACATGACAGTATGATCCCATTAACTATTTTCTAGGTTTTTTGTGGAGGAAGTAATGGGCTTTCTGAACTATTTGTAACATAGATTGACAGATTTTCCTTCACTACTGCCTCTTTGTCTGGAAAAGGCTTTGGAATATTTCATAGAGAGTGTTCACCATTAATTTCAATTTCTGAAGGAGTTTCACTTTTTTTAATGCTGTTTGTTCCCGAGTGACATTCTTATTTAATATCAAATCATATCTCAAAGCAGATATAAGCTGATATTTTGTCATAATTTCAGCATGGGTTAGTGTAAAATGACGTTCTAAATTGATCTTTTTCTGTATAGCTGTAGCACTACATACCGACCATGCTAGTTAAGAACTTTTCCCTTCCCCTCCCTTCATATACATAGTTAAATTCTTTCATTGTGATAGCATTTTCATATTTTTGTTTTGACATGTTGAGCTGAGTAGACATCATTTTGACAAGAAGGATAATAAGCTAGCTATAAAAAGGTTAATCCATTGGTAGTCATTAGGAAAAAATGTTGTGGATATGGGCCTTGTCTTATATTTTTTTCTCTCTTTGGAGCTGGTCAGCTATGAGACATCCTTTTCTTTAGGTCTGGCAGCTCACAATGAGTTGTAGAATAAAACTAGCCAATTGCGACTACCCCCTGCTTTTCATGATCAGGCCACTTTCTTAGTGGCCAAAGGGAGTTTTGGTCATTCTTTATTTTTGTTTTAATTCTGAGATGTTTTATCTTCTGTGCATGCTCCAAACAATGCTATTTTATATTATGGTTCATGCTACTTCCAAGGGAATGCCAGGAAGGGTTTTGAGAAAACAATGGTAGAGGAGAGAAGACCTTCATGTTGAACCAAAAATTTGAAGACACCTATTTAAGCAAGAGGATTTGGATAATAGACCCCTAGGCAGATTAAAAGAATGATCCATGAAAACATATGACCATGACAGCAAGGCAAAAGGAAGAGACTGAATAAGAAATATAAAACTGGGAAACTGTGTACTGCACAGAAGAATGAGCAGAGGAAGAAGTAGAAACAGGAACCAGTATGCCAAAAACCCCCCAAAAAACAATGACTTATATTTCGATGAAAAGCAAGGAAGGAACATTGGAGAGAGAGAATTAAGCATGAGGACGTACAAAGATGATAAGCAGACTTGTTGAGAAATGACAAAAAGGAAGAGGATCTACAGGCAGAAGACAGAGTAAGAGAAAAGGAATACAGACACACACCAACATCAGGAAGAAACCAGTGTATATCATTAGGAGTTCCATGTTAAGAAGAGA